CAGCAAGATTCATTTTTTAATTAGATTGATTTCAATAGAATGCACTTAAAAAACAAACAAAAAACTAACACTTGCTTCTCTAATCTTTTTTGCATTCTATCTATTTCATATATATATTATATCCATTCTATCACACTCTCTCTCTCACACACACACACTCTCTCTCTCTCTCTCTCACACACACACACACACACACACACACACACACACACACACACACAGGTTTGTTTTTGTGAAAAGTGGGGACTCTCCATAGGGGTAATGGTTTTTATACTGTACAGACCGTATATTCTATTGCCCTACACCAACCCTACCCCTAAACCTACCCCTCACAGGAGACTTTCTGCTATCTGCTTCACAGGAGCAATTCTCATTTGCTACTTAAATCTACAACATATTAAAAACATAAAATATTAGATCAAGTAAGCACAGAAACGACTTTGCGGCACGATCAAAGATCAGACAAATATACAGGTGCATCTTGAAAAGCGGATGTTTTGGAAAGTGCTACGCTACGTTTTTGTGCCTTCTAGTGGTTTAGAGGAAAATAATATCAAAGGATCTTCTTACCCAGGGCGCCTTTATCCCCGTTGTACATATTATTATTATTATTATTATTATTATTATTATTATTTATCACCCTAAGCCTGTGAATGGCAGAATGGCGTTCTTCTTTGACCTGTTCAGATACAGATATTCAGGTATAAAAACTGCTCTGGTTCTGCATCTAACCCAAACTCACGAGTTACTCTTATAAAACACAACCTTACCTGTCCCGGAAATCCTGTGACTTTCTTTCAGTCTCGCAGAAGAGAAATGACAGCAATCATATATATACAGTATATACACATATACATACACACAGCCATATCACGCTGTAGCCCAAGACTGGTCATCCACTGAAGCTGAGCAGGGTTGAGCTGGTCAGTACCTGGATGGGAGAGAAGAGTATAACTGCAGCCTGGAGATCTCCAAATGGAGGTGGGAGCTCCAAAATAGGGCGTGGCTTCCTCCCATTGACAGACAGGCACATGACACACATGCACAATTTTTTCTCCCAATCCACTTCAGTGCAAACTCCGCCCCACAGCTGATTCTAAAGATTTTATTGGTTGTGTCAATTAAAGTGTTGATTTCCTACACTATGCTACAAAAAATGCTAGCGCTAAACCTACCCCACACCTGACCCTAACCTTAACCAGTGAAACTGACTGCACGGCGGGATTAGCGCTGAATAGCTGGTAAAGAAAGATGCAGTTCAGGAGATAAACAGTTAATGAGAGTAAGCGATATGAGATCGTTCCGTAACTCCCCAACCGGACCTCACCGGACAATGGCACCTTTTCAGTTACACCCAGCATCACTACCCCCTCCTACCCTGCGAATTTCGAGCCCCGGGACGCCCCCGCTGCTTAGAGCAAAGCAATAGAGTAAACTCTTTCCCCTGCGCTGCAGCGAGACGGCTCGTGGGTAATTTGTGTTTATATCATTACGCAGAGGTTCAAACTCCAGTCCGAACACCACTGGCCACGAGCTTTGTGCTCTGCTCTCACAGAGAATATTTATTTATATAGCATATTTTATTTTAGATGAACTAGAAACAATGTTACATTTATAAAGTTTTATTTTGAAATGTAAGTCAATAACAATTGGCTGGAGCCAGAGCCAATGGTGAAAGTCTTTGCACGAGGAGACCCCGCCCCATTTTGGAGGTCCTGCCCACTTTTGGAGTTCACACCCCATTTTGGAGCTCTCCGGTCTGCAGTTATACCTACTTGGGACGGGAGAGCTCCTGGGAAAACTAGGTAGCTGCTGGAAGAGGTGTTAGTGAGGCCAGCAGGGGGCGCTCACCCTGTGCTCTGTGTGGGTCCTAACGCCCCAGTATTATAGTGATGGCGACACTATACTGTCAACAAGCACTGTCCTTCGGATAAGACGTTAAACAGAGGTCCTGACTCTCTGCGGTCATTAAAAAAGGGTAGAGGTGTAACCCCGGTGTCCCGGCCACATTCCCTCCACTGGCCCACACATAAACCCTACTTTACCAGATAAAATGAAAAAATGTCATCAAAACATTTCTGAAGACAGTTGGTTTCCTTCAGAAGTACATTCATATTAAAAAAACACCCATGTTGCATTTTGAGTTTGAAACTCAAAGACCTCTTGAAATTATAACAAATACTTTTCTTGCACCATTTAAAGCATTTAAGGCTTTTTATGGCCTTAAACTTGCTACAACTACATTTAAGACAACTAGGTTGAGACGTTCTCCAGCTCACAGTGAGCAGGGTTTCATGAGAACAGAGCTGTCCATCTGGAGTCCTCCATGATTTCTGTACTCTAGTTTTAATGTGATAGGACAGTGGAGAGCTGACAGGAAAGCACTGGGCAGACAGAGGGGAAGGGCAAAGGACCACGAGACGGGACTCAAACTCGGCTGGCCGCAAGTGCAGTTGCGCTGTTTGTCCTCTGTTATTCTGATCAATACTGACAGCATATGAGATGAAGATGAAGATGAAGAGCTGTGTTGAGTTAGGAGAAGCTGCACAGGAGCTCTGATGTCACGGGTGAAATCACCGCCCACAGCAATCATCATGGTCAATCCCATCATGCCTCACGTGTGCGGCACGAGCGTCCGATAAATATCTGATAACGCCAGAGCAAAGTCTCTGGAGAAAACAAGCCTCAAGGAGAGGAAACCAGTGCGCTGAGGTTCAGTGCTCTTCCTCATGAGATCAGACCGCTGCTTCAGATCTTACAGCTGCGGCTTCATTCAGAACCAACAGCAGATGAAAATAGACCCCTCACTCTAGAGTCTGCATTAATGACGCCCTTTGGGTTCCCAGCAGTGGAACTGCAAGCTGAGAATCACATTTATTCTTTTGTTTGGATCCACAAGACAAGCAACAAAAACAGAATCCAAATACCTTGGGAAGTCATTTTACAAGATGATACGTACACATGGCTAACATACATTCCCAAGTCCTTATATTTGCTCGCATGTGTCACTCACACACTCACACACACACACACAGTCAGATCATCTACAGACACACACACACACACACACACACAGTCAGATCATCTACAGACACACACACACACACACACACACACACAATCAACACATCTACAGACACACACACACACACGAAGCTCTCCAACAGGATTTTTGCATCTGTTGTCTCCTAATGTTTCCTAAACACAGAGCGAAAATCCATTACAGCAAAGGTCAGTGCAAACTCAGTGCACCATAAGCTCTGAGCCTCTGCTTTCCGAATCCTAAGTCCATCCCACCCTCTCCACACACACACACACACACACACTCACACACACATACACACACACACACACACACATACACACACACACACTCTCTCTCATTCTGGAAAATGTATCAAGTTTAAGTTTAAATGAAAAAAATGTCTGCCAGTGTGGTCAGAAGAAATTCATTTAATTTGTAATCAAAATAAGGTTAACAAGCTTTAATATCTTAAGTTGATTCAGATCTCCAGTAGATGCATCTTGGTCTTAAGACATTTTTGCTGGAAAACAGACAAAACTACTGAGAAAGAACAGCAGTGAAGTCAGATAATAATTTAAACTCAAATCAATGTGTTGTCCATGATTTTATTTATTTGAGTAGCCATTATTTTGAGACAATGACTCTATTATCCCTCACACATATATAATTTAACACATTTGATCAAATATGTTCAATCAGACGTGTCCAAAGCGCTGACTGGTTCTTTATGTATATGCATACATTTACCTTTAGAAACCCTCTGCATGCATACAAATATAAGAGATGAAAGGTCTTCTTTGTATTCAGAAGCTACATGAGAGCATTGCGTCCTTCCCATCAGACAAACACCGTCTCCAGCGATCAGATCTTCAAGAGTTTCCATCCTCATGATGATCTCAACATCACCGTCACTGAAGAGCAGAAGATGCTGGAGAGCGCGTGATGAACACCAACACGACAGAAGATACGGAGGAACCGAGAGGAAGGAAGCGTCTTGCGGATTACAGGATTGACAGGATTGGTTTGTGTGTGAAGTGTGCTGATGAATGTTTAGCGTGAGCGGAGCTGAGGCACCGCATCGTTCACATACTCCTAACATAACAATAATAACACCACTCAGAGTAGACGTACACATGAATATACAGGGGAGACGAGGCCTGCTTCATAGTGATAGGGTTTACAGTCATAAGTGTGTGAAGAAAGAGTTTAGTGAAAGTGTGAACAGCAAGACGTCTTTATATGTCTGTCAGGTGTTTCGATCAGGACTGTAGAGTTCCTCACCGGTCCGTCAGACCTCATTTATACATTACTATTAGCCAAAACAAGAGCTTGGTGTTTTTGTTTTGTTTTGTTTCAGGATAGTTTGTCCTCACTGTGACAATTTATCCCATATAGTGTGACAACATGCCCCTAAATGGCAGTGTGTGTTTGGTGAACTACATCTTTTGTCCTTGGTTGAAAATGTTCAGTAACACTGTTTTAAAAGTTTATGCCTATACATGGCTATATATATATAATACGTAATTCTATTACAATGATATAGAATTCAATGTATAAATGATAGTTTGTTGAGTAATGTGTATTCTAGCTGACGATGTTTGACGAAGAGGATTGTCCTGCTGTCAGTGGAGCGCGAGTGTGTATCTCTGTGTGTGTGCTGTGATTGGTGGGATGAAATGAGGAAGCCCCGCCCACAGGTTCATTAATATGAGAATGAAGGGAAGCACACAGACAGATGCTGTAATGTGTGAGAGCTGCTCCTGCCAGCAGACACTCTCTAACGCTGCGCTCCATTGTGAGTCTCTCTCTCTCACACACACACACACACACACTCACTCACTCACTCACTCACACACACACACACACACACACACACACACACACACACACTCACTCACTCACTCACTCACACACTCACTCTCCCTCTCTCACACACACACACACACACACACACACACACTCACTCACTCACTCACTCACACACACACACACACACACACACACACACACACACACACACGTCAGTGCGAGCAGAAGTAGAGCAACATGAGGCAGAGCAGCAGGCTGGCGTAGCGGCAGACGGAGCAGGCATGGGACGCCGCTCTTCTCTTGTGCCGTGGGCCGTTACAGAGCGCCGTGTTGCAGCAGGTGATGCAGACAGAGTTCAGCTTCCCCGTGCAGAACTGCTGGTAGCCCGACGACGCGATCAGACACGCCCCCGACGACGCACACGACTTCCTGTAGTGAATCCCTGCACAGACACAATCACAACAGTCAGCACACAGAACTTCGCATAAAGAACATTTTTAAGATCATTAAGATTTTCTGCATTAAACTGTTTTATGAATTATATGATCATTCACAAGCTCACACTTACATATAATAAACAGAGTAAAGGTTATGCGTATTTGGCATGCTGTCCGAGGGGAGGGCTCCGAGCACAGAATTTTGTCCCGAACCCAGATTAATTAATTAGGTTAATTATCTGAACGTGCTCCTCCTGAACTTTGTTAATAAAACATCATTGTTTGTTGCTCTGCCTTTATGTTGTCTGAAATCTTAATGTTGTTGCATCGCTGTATTTTTACAGTAAAAGGAAACAATCAGTAATTACAAACTCCAAAGTAAAATGTCCAGATGCATTACTGTAATGAGAGTCTTGAAACTTAAATGTCATGAAAACAATGTGACAATGCAAAAAAGGTCCTAAAAGTAGGCTTCATTTTCTTTATGCATTAATTGTCAAAATGGACTTCTATGTTCATTTCCTTCAGTTTAAGCATCAACGCGACAGAGTTTAACTACTGCTTTATCATCGACAGTCCACTAGAGGGCACAACACAACACATAAACATAAACCGCACAGCACCGTACTGCCCTTACTTTAGCTGACAAAAATAATATTTTGTTTGACAAAGAAGATCAAAATGAAATCTATTATTTAAACATATTAATTTCAACATGAATACCATTACCATGCCATTTTAGTAAATCAAACTAAAAATAATGAACATAACATGATGAAATATTGAGTATATTTTTATCAAAAGACAAAAACTAACAGAAAACTGTGTAAAATTAACACTGGAACCAGACTGAAAGCTTCAGTTAAATCCTTTGATTTTATCATTTGATGCACTTTTCTTTGCAGCTGGGTGTATTATTTTCAATAAAGGATTTAAGATGGATTGTTTGCCTTAAAGTTATTGGTTGATTTAAAAAAAAGTTGTCTTCTGTTGATATTTTTTGCCTAATAGAAATATAATAATTTTTTTGTTGATAATTATGCGTGAATGTAGTTTGTCCTGCTGTATTATTTGATGGCAATATGACACAAACACACACACCTCCGGCTGTACTGAAACAAACAGTGAGGAATGAGTCTTCCTGTAAGTCATTAGTAGTCTGGACTGCTTTCTTACAAATAGGGAATGGGGCTGACAGGAGCTAAACTCAGATCAGCATCTGAAGGAGCGTCGCCTGAGCAGCAGCCGATTTCCAGCATAAAGCTCACTTACATTAACACTAGCTTTCAGCCTCCAGCGCTCACTGCAGTCACAGTCTGCCAGGAATTGTTCATTCTGAGAGTTTCTGATAGCGCCACACACTGCGGTCAGAGCAGCAGATGATGAAGAAGCAGTGGAGTAGCAGTGATGGGCAGTGAGGAGCAGATGAAGGAGCAGTGAGGAGCACATGAAGGAGCAGTGGAGGAGCAGATGAAGGGGCAGTGGAGGAGCAGATGAAGGAGCAGATGAAGGAACAGTGATGGGCAGTGAGGAGCAGATGAAGGAGCAGTGAGAAGCAGATGAAGGAGCAGTGGAGGAGCAGATGAAGGGGCAGTGGAGGAGCAGATGAAGGAGCAGATGAAGGAACAGTGATGGGCAGTGAGGAGCAGATGAAGGAGCAGTGAGAAGCAGATGAAGGAGCAGTGGAGGAGCAGATGAAGGGGCAGTGGAGGAGCAGATGAAGGAGCAGATGAAGGAACAGTGATGGGCAGTGAGGAGCAGATGAAGGAGCAGTGAGAAGCAGATGAAGGAGCAGTGGAGGAGCAGATGAAGGGGCAGTGGAGGAGCAGATGAAGGAGCAGATGAAGGAACAGTGATGGGCAGTGAGGAGCAGATGAAGGAGCAGTGAGAAGCAGATGAAGGAGCAGTGGAGGAGCAGATGAAGGGGCAGTGGAGGAGCAGATGAAGGAGCAGATGAAGGAACAGTGATGGGCAGTGAGGAGCAGATGAAGGAGCAGTGAGAAGCAGATGAAGGAGCAGTGGAGGAGCAGATGAAGGGGCAGTGGAGGAGCAGATGAAGGAGCAGATGAAGGAACAGTGATGGGCAGTGAGGAGCAGATGAAGGAGCAGTGAGAAGCAGATGAAGGAGCAGTGGAGGAGCAGATGAAGGGGCAGTGGAGGAGCAGATGAAGGAGCAGATGAAGGAACAGTGATGGGCAGTGAGGAGCAGATGAAGGAGCAGTGAGAAGCAGATGAAGGAGCAGTGGAGGAGCAGATGAAGGGGCAGTGGAGGAGCAGATGAAGGAGCAGATGAAGGAACAGTGATGGGCAGTGAGGAGCAGATGAAGGAGCAGTGAGAAGCAGATGAAGGAGCAGTGGAGGAGCAGATGAAGGGGCAGTGGAGGAGCAGATGAAGGAGCAGATGAAGGAACAGTGATGGGCAGTGAGGAGCAGATGAAGGAGCAGTGGAGGAGCAGTGGAGGAGCAGATGAAGGAGCAGATGAAGGAACAGTGATGGGCAGTGAGGAGCAGATGAAGGAGCAGTGAGGAACAGTGAGGAGCAGTGGAGGAGCAGATGAAGGAGCAGTGATGGGCAGTGAGGAGCAGATGAAGGAGCAGTGAGGAGCAGTGAGGAACAGTGGAGGAGCAGTGGAGGAGCAGATGAAGGAACAATGAGGAGCAGATGAAGGAGCAGTGAAGGAGCAGTGGAGGAGCAGATGAAAGAGCAGTGAGGAGCAGTGAAGGGGCAGTGAAGGAGCAGTGAAGGGGCAGTGAAGGAGCAGTGAAGGGGCAGTGAAGGAGCAGTGAAGGGGCAGTGAAGGAGCAGTGAAGGGGCAGTGAAGGAGCAGTGAAGGGGCAGTGAAGGAGCAGTGAAGGGGCAGTGAAGGAGCAGTGAAGGGGCAGTGAAGGAGCAGTGAAGGGGCAGTGAAGGAGCAGTGAAGGGGCAGTGAAGGAGCAGTGAGGAGCAGTGAGGAGCAGTGAAGGAGCAGTGAGGAGCAGTGAAGAGCAGTGAATGAGAAGTGAGGAGCAGTGAAGGGGCAGTGAAGGAGCAGTGAGGAGCAGTGAAGGGGCAGGGAAGGGGCAGGGAAGGA